CGAAGATCGACGCGTCACGGCCAATGTTGCCCGACGGCGTCAGGCCCAGACCGCCGATCAGACCAGCGCACATGTCGGACAGAATGTCACCATACAGGTTCGGCATCACCATGACAGTGTTGGCGTACTGAGCCGGGTCCTGCACAATCTGCAGGCACGCGCGGTCCAGCAGCACCTCGTCGAACTGCACATTCGGGAACTCGCGCGCCACCTCCTGGCATGCCTGCAGGAACAGACCGTCAGACAGCTTCATGATGTTGGCCTTGTGGACTGCAGTGACGTGGTTCCGTCCCGTCGCCACCGCATGGGCAAACGCAAACCGCGCGACGCGCTCAGACGCCGGCTTGGTGATGAGCTTAATGCTCTGCATCACTCCGTCCACCACCTCGTGCTCGATTCCCGAGTACTCGCCCTCGGTGTTCTCGCGGATCAGCACCGTGTTGACATCGCTGTAGTGGGTCGCAAAGCCCGGCACCGACTTGCACGGCCGCACGTTCGCGTACAGGTTGAACGTCCGCCGCAGCGTCAGGTTCAGCGACACGTGGCCCTTGCCGATAGGCGTCGCCAGCGGGCCCTTGAGCGCAATCTTCGTCTTCAGAATCGAGTGCAGTGCCTCGTCAGGAATCACCGTCTTGCCGTCGCGCAGCACCGGCGTCACGTCCACGTGCTCCCACTCAATCGGCACCTTCGCCGCAGAGAAGATGCGCTCCACCGACTTGGAGATCTCCGGTCCGATGCCGTCGCCGGGAATCATCGTCACCGTGTAGTTGCCGCTGCCGTTCTTCTCGCCGGCGTATGTGCCGACGGCCGACTGCGACGCCATGGTGCGGGTGGCCATGCTGAGAGCCTACTCTGTGGATATTAGCTGGCCTGCTCCCCTGATTCACAGTTCCGTCTGAATTCCTCCAGCCACCCTATACTTTACCTGAGACTTGGTAAGAGCGCGACGGGTGAGGCTAAACATGGTGTGTATCCTAACTGCTATTCAAGAGCGTATAAAAGAGAATGCTAGTGGTGAAGAAGGGGAGAAGAGGAGAAAGCCTCGCAAAGGAGAATTTTTATCCCTGCCTATTTCTCTATCAGCAGGCCTGGTGTCTGCTTGTTCTCGACTTTCTCCTTATCTATTGCCCTCTGCTAGGCAAACTCCGGGCTGGGGATTGTTGGGGTGCGTGAGGTGCTGGTGTCTGCCTGTCTGCCTGCCCAACCCTTTCCAAGCTGTGCACGCGTACCTGGGATCGCCCTAGCCAGCTCGCTTTGAGAGCTGTGACTGGCCCAGCACTCCCGTCTGTCCGCTCGGTCTTGACCTGAAGGGCGCCTTATGATAAGGGGAACCGTAAACCCCCGAGCAGAGCAGCACGCAACGCCGCTGCCCAAAGGCTTCTTGGGTAAAAACAAGGTCAATTTCTCGGAGCTACTAAAATGTACTGAAAATACCTCAATATAATATTCATACGCGGGGCTTCTTGAACAGCTGCTGGTCGGCAGGCGCCGGCGCAATGTTCAGGTGGTGGTGGTGCTGGTGCTGCTGGTGGTGGTGCTTGGTGGTGCTGCACAGGCCAGGTTTGCCCGAGAAGTCAACTCCCCGCCGGATGGTGGCACGGGCATCTGACGTTGTTCAGCACATTCGGGTCCTTCTCCGTGATCAGCCGACTTGAGCCATTTGGTCTCTGTCTCCAGCTCCTGCACCCCGCTTCTCCAGCGCCTCGGCCTTGGCCGTCATCTCGCGTGCAGTCCGCTCAAGCCGCCTGCTCCTTCATCTTTTTCTTGATCCGGAAACGTGCAGACGCCGCAGTGTTCCGCCGCCGCTTGTCTTCTTTCTGCTGCACGCCGCCGCTGGGACTCATCACCCTCCTCTTCGTCGTCGTTGTTGGACACATCATCACGGATAGCCTGCGGAGGCGTTGCCGCCTTGGGCTTGGACGATGACCGGCGCTGCGTCGGAGGTGGTGCCACCGCTGCCGCCGAGACCACTGTCTGTGCACTGCTGCTGGCAGCGCCATTGGCGGTAACTGGAGGAGGTCCTTGGGCGCAATCCGCCGGCTGGTGGTAGGTCCGGTGCACTTGGCGCAGGGGCAATGGCAATCATGTGGGAGGAAGACGAGGAAGACGAAGCTGCAGCAGTGGTGGTGGTAGCTGAGGGAGAAATCGTAATCGGCTGCTGCGGCTGCGGCTGCTGAGGAGCCAGCGGAACCAGCGGGATCATGGGCACCCCGTTGACAATGATCGGCTGCTGCTGCTGTGCCTGCTGCGGGTACATGACCTGCGCCTGCGACAGCCGCGCCCACTGAGTGTGCTGCTGCTGCTGCTGTTGCTGCTGTTGCTGCGAGGCGGTCCCTCCTGCAATTGCACTGAAGATGTCGGCAGTAGCCTGCCCGCCCATCATGAACCCGAGTGCATTGCCCTGCGAGCTACTTGTGTGCGGCGTGTGTGGCTCCTGCTGAGGACTCATGAATCCCCAGCTCTGCTGCTGTGCCTGCTGTACTTGCGGCTGCAGCTGCTGTGGTTGGTTGCTGGAGGTGCTAGAAATGCTTGAGCGAGCCTCCGAAGACGAAGTGCTCGATACTGGTGACTCTTTGCCCCTGTGGCTCGTCATTAACTGGCTCAAAATTGAACTGCGCATTGCTCCACAGAGCAAGCTCGTCCTGAAGCTCCTGAGTGCTAAGCATTGGAGTCTGTGGTGAATCCGGGTTCAGGCGAAATAGCTGGTTCCAAGCGCTCAAATCCGCCATTTAGACTCTTCAAAATCGCTAAGAGATAAAATCCAAAAAGTGATGATATTTCCTCAGGACTACAACGAAACGTCTGAGAAAATAGTATCCTTGAAAAGAGCACGAAAAAGGTGAAACAGAATCAGTCAGGAGCAATATAAAAAACCGAGTTGGGAGCAAAAAAAGAAGGGATAAATTTGGGGAGGAGGCCAGAGGGGGTGGAAAAAGAAAAGGCGGCCAGAGCAAGAGGGTTGGAAAAAGTCAACACCCGATTGGAGCACTGGGCCCAGTATATAAGTTTTCTGACTAATACTCGGTGCGCGAATTAGATGGCAACTCCCACTGCGTGTTCGCTAGCAAAGGAGCCTGCTGGCGGGGAGTCCAAGCTTGATTTCCTCGCCATCTGCACCGGTTAATCCCCTCCTTAGTACCGCTGCCTTTCCGGGCTGCGCTGGCCTGCAAATGCGCATTTTCCTGTGTAATTCCTTGCTGCTCCCTTCTAGCCCAGCGCCGGCTCACGCAGAAACTCGCAGCCAGGAATTCCACTTTCCATCCAGTCAAATCCCATCTTCCCTTTCACCGAGCTAACCCCCTCCCATTCCGGTCCGCTCCTGCCTCGTCGTCTCCTATGAGCGTGCCAGGGAAATTACGCTGGGCATGCAGCTACAGCTGCCAGAGCCAAAAAGTAGCACGGCCAACGAAATGACGCCATCGGCAATAGCCGCTTGCACCATCGGGTCTGCCCGCTTCATGCACGCATTCCAAGAAAGTTGTTTGAAACTCACCTCCCTTGCCCTTTACATACCGCCTTGACCCGCACCCCAAGTCCACTTTGAGAGGCCGAGTCCACTTTGAGAGACCGCATAAGGCCGATCACCACCGGATTCCCTTAGCCATTCTTGCAAACGGTATACTGGATACATCTTTCCGTTGGGCATAGGAGCGCTGGCAAATCCTTGCGGTTGACTCTGTTGGTGAGTGGACAGACTACGGCAGATTCGTTTGTCTACCCAACACCGGCGCTACATCGGCCTTGCCCGTGCCCCCGGCGAGCCCGCAATTTGGATGAGAAAGTTGGAGGTGTGCTTAAATTAATTGCACTGATGACCCACACACTGTGTGACTTTAATTTCTGCGCCCAACCTTTGTCCTCGGCTCGCTTGTTGCTGTCTTGACACCCTCTATTTCTGGCATTCAACCCTTTCAAGCCTCACGCTGCGAGCGCTGAATATCGCACCATGGCGTGCAGGGATTGAGCATATATGCGCGAAGAAAAAGTCGCCTGCAGCACCATGTACTTGACCATACTGCATATACCAAGCGGAAATTGAGATGCACAGATATACAAGCATGATCCTGGGAATCTCAGGAGCGCATAAATTCATTACACGTTCGCCATACATGCATATGATACGTGTGCGCACCACCGCCACATGGACACTGTGATCTGATCGCTCTGCAGTGATTACGCTTGTCCGGAATCAGCGGCCCACTCGGGTTCGGGGCTCTTGGCTTTTTTGTCAGCACACTAGCGGAGAAAACCTGCCATAGATGCCGCTGCAGCGATTCTCACTCCTTTTTTTGTTTTTATCAGTTCTATCCCCTACACCTCCCCTTGTCTTTGTTCTTCAGCCATGAGCCGCCAAGGTCTATCGATTCCGGGCAAAACCCCCCAGGACGTCAACATGGAGGACGAGGCCGATGATCTGTCCATACTCCTGTCACGCAGCGCGCCAAAGATCGAGCGCCACAAGACCGTCGTCCCGATCCACAAGGACGACGTGGCCTTCTCGGACTTTGACCGCGCCATCATTATTGCCATCGACGAAGGCTCCAACTCAGACATTGTCGTTGACTGGGCTGCGGACCGTCTGCTGCGCCGGAGAAAAGACCTGGTAAGAACCACCTAAATTCTGTCGTTGAATTTGTCGAATTTCTAAAGCCTGCTTTGCTCACTCAACCCCTCGCTTCGTCTTTCTTTTGTAGTCGTCTTGGTGAACGTGCAGCCCGAGTCAAAATCGTGGAAGTCTCAAAACATCGGGGGTTCGCTCGCCCGGCCATTCAACCGCCTGTCCAAGCCTGTCCAGCCCGAGACCATTACCATTGACAACGAGGCGAAGGAGCGGTGCCGGGAGATCCTGTCGCCCTATGCCGAGAGGCTACAAAAGGACGGCTTTGTCGTCAAGGGCATCTGTCTCATTGGCAACCCAAAGGAGGTCCTGGTGGCAAGCTCCAATATCAAGAAGCCCACCATGATCGTCATGGGCACCCACGGCCGCGGCTCCGTCAAGAAGTTCCTGATGGGCAGTGTTGCAGAGTATGTCCTGCACCACAGCACTATACCGGTGGTTGTCGTGCCGAATGGCGCCAAGAGACCGACTGAGAGCTCTGACTAAGCCATTCGCTTGTTGTTCTTTTACCTTCCGTTGAAAAGTTTATCTGCCCTTAGTCCTTTAGACGCGTACCCCTGATGCCCCCGTCACGGAATGACTGTCCACGAGGCTGCCGAAAGGGGGAGTGGGAATACCAATATGCGGCCATGCATCCAAAGCCTCCCCACACAGTCGCTAGCAGAATGCGAGTAACTCGATGGGCTTTCGTTTGTTGACACATTGGTGGTCCAACTCTTTCCTCAGGCGAGTGGGATGGAGCAATTCTAGATTTTCTGGCCAAAACAACAACCACCAGTGCCTTGGTGTGGCGCTGCACGGGCAGCATGCTCAGGGCGCAGTAGTAAACATGCAGAAGCGTGGTTCGGCAAACAATCCTCCACATAATGCCTACTGTCCCACCTGGGCCATCGAAGTTTTGTTTTTGCGGTCCCGCTCTAAGAAACGCAGTCCCCATCCTGACGTCCACTTCGCCCACTGCTGTTTGTTTCAGGCCACCTCCCTGCCTCCAAAAAAACATTCATATACGAGCCATTCTGGCAGTTTGCTACTGATATCCGGCACCTATTTCATTTCATCCTTTGCACCTGGCTCCGTTGCCTCTCTGTTCTCTCCAATAAACATACCCCCACGGCTCTACATTTACACGCACATTTCTACGAGAATACTGTAAAATGAACCGCCTTACTCTTGTTCTCGCTGCCCTCATCTCAACAGCCTACGCCGAATTCGATGCAAACATTCTCGCCCAGCTGCCTGTCCCACCCAAGCCGCCTGTTGCCCCCACCCAGGCACCGGCGCCCATCGACCCAAACAACCGCGCACTCAGCCGGCACCCCGCCAGCAGGAGACCGTGCCTGACGCCGCTTCAATCCCCGCTGGCCTCGAATCGCTGGTACCCGGCTTCACCAGGAACACCGCCCCCGCCGTCCAGATCACCGTCGATACCGCTGAGCTTGTGGCTCCGACGCCCACCGCTCAGGAGAAGGAGTCGCCCAAAATCTCGATTGACCCCGCCACCCATGCTGTCACTGCTGCATCGCGCCCCACCACCGATGCTCCGAAAGCCACCCAGGCAGCAAGCTCGAACAAGAGCAAGAGCGCCGGATCCCATGCATCTGCTGATGCTAGTCAGGACAGCCGAGGCGGTGATGAAGACTCGCTTGATCAGTCGAAGCTGAAGAGCATGTCAGGAAATGGTGCAGGCAAGGCTGTTCCGGCTGCCATGGTGGCTGCCGCTGTGGTTGTTGCGGCCGGATTCTTCTGAGTGAAAACAGTTATCTATTGTGTTCTTCACAATATTGGGGTGGCCAAGCCAGGTATTTGTTTCGTCTACACTGTTTAATTCAAAAGTACCATGAACAAGTAAAAAATGTCTATGTCGTTATTCAGGCTGTGTGGCAATCATTAATAGGTGTATTTGTTGTATTTACATGAGTGTTAATGAAGATATGTACAGGTATTGCGGGTCCACGACGCTACTCACCAGACAGGCGCTGTGCATGTTTGCCAAATGCTACTTTGGTGATATAGTGTAGAGCGTGTGACTGGACACCTTGGCAGCGTCTGCACTCGAGCACACAATCGCACATTCGACATGTCAGACAGCATCCTGTCAGGCAGTAGCGACATGGACACCGACAAAGATTGCAGGGCAGCTGTTGATAGATGCAAGGAAGGAGATGGTTTGAACAAGAGTGTGGTTTGTGTCTTGAGGGATGAGATGGAGGGCGAAAATAGCGCCAGACACCGACCCTTTTATATCGTCTGGGCAGGCTTTCTCTTGGTGGGCTGCCCAGCAGGCCGAATAGAACGCGAAAATCATGAAACACGTTGCCCCCTTTTCAGCGCTTCGCCGGGCTCCCACACTGCTGCACCTGCAGCGGCCGTCATTGGCTGGCGGGGGCGCTGCGCATGCCAAATTTGCTTTTTCCTTGGGACGCCGTTGCTGCCATATAATGTGTAGCTGCGGTGGTGGGTGATGGAGCTGCATGCAAGCCATGCATCACTGTTCGGAGTGCCAATCTGCCACTGACCAGCACTCCCCACCGCTTGCCTGATGCGCATTAGGCGTTACCAAAAAAAGTGCATTATTGCTATTTAGCCCGGTGGCCGGGGTCGTTTTGCAAGAACAGCCTCTTTCTGCGTCGGACTAGCTCAGAACAAGTGCGTGGTCCAGAACTTTTATGGCTATTTTCACCACGACCTGGACTGCTGACACTTGGGTAGAGTTGGCAGGAGTATACGCACATGGGCATCTGGCCCCCTGTGTCATTTCTGCTGGAGACAACAGTGTAGCACCGACGACACCAGGTAGCTGTGGCCCACTGGCAGCTTTCTTCTGAGCAAGCCGCCCAGCATCCTCCACGTGAATAGAGGTTTTGTGCAGCACAATATAAGGTGCCTATGTCAAGCATAGTGGAGATGCAAGGTGTCGTGATAAGCATCAGCCCATTGTCTGCCGCCGATTCCACAGAGGCTTTGGAAAGATAAGCCAGCTGGCGAACATGACAAACACGTCGACTCGCTTGGCTGCACCACCACACACCCTTGCTTCTAAGAATGCTCTATGCTACCTGCTGTGCATCAACAGTCATCTAGAAGACAGCATAAATACTGAGAGAGAATATCAGCAATCAACACCAACATCTTGTCTTTCATTTTATTAGTGCTCCATTTTTTGAGAACTCGGCAAGCTGATTGGGAAGATGGCCGAGCGGTCTAAGGCGCTGCGTTCAGGTCGCAGTCAGTATCACTGGCGTGGGTTCGAATCCCACTCTTCTCAGCTTTTTGCACTCCCTTTTTGGCAACCTGCGACCAGCAGGATCGCCCAACCCAACATCGCTATGCTGAATCCACCCCTAGAGCAGAGTCCTTGGTATCTTGTATGTGGGTTGCTTTTTTTACTGCAATGCCTTGAGTGGCAGCTGATCCCAGTGGACCAGCGCAGTAGTCGCCTTTGCTTTCCCCTTCACAGAATTAATTGCGTCCTCTACGCACCGGCAGCTCTTTGCTCAACCTTTGTTCATAGTGCTCGCCTCAGAAATGGGCAAGAGAGCACAGCACACATGTTTAAGGCCACTAGTAGAGTCTAAAGTAGCGGCTAATCTCTGAGTACTCGCATACAACAACATCCGACTGTATCCGTTCTATATTGCTCCGGATTACATCGGCATGCTCAGTATTCACGGCAAGTTGCTGGAGTGCCGGAAGAGAGAGAAGCAATCTAGATATGGCTGCTTCATCGAAGTGGCTTGTGGCACGCATGCCGAAAACCTGTAAGCTCTTGTTCGTTGTCCGGATGTCGCTCGAGGTTTGTAGATCGTCCAGCCGGATAGCGCTATGACCAGTTGGTGGAATAGCATCGCAAGTATCCTCCGACATGTAGCTCTCTCTCCAGTAGTAGGAATCCCTATCATCTGGGTCCATTGTCGTGCATGAAATTCGGAGGTATTTCAGTAGGACCAACTGTCCCAGCAGCTGTTTGATGAGTGCCACTGGCGCGATGTCTGTGTCCAACGAAAGACATACGAGGCTATGCCAGCAAAGGCGTGTTGGAAAGGGCACCATGGTCTGAAGTAGAGCTCTCCGAACCGAGGAGTCAGCTAGATAGAACCGGGTGACAAAGTGTGCAGGATCATTCACCTTGCTACCCCCACCAGGTAAAATAGTCTTTAGGTGAAGGCAGCTAATGTTGCGAATAATGCCAGTGTCGATTTGGGCGAGTTTACGGTAGTTCTCGTTGATCTGCAGCAGCCTCAGCGGCGCGTTTTGGAATGAGGAGTATGCATCCCGATACACACCGGTGGATTGGCTAACCAGCAGCTTTGAGAGTTTTGGAAATGTGCGCAAGAGATGGGCAGGAAGGGCCAGGGTTTGCTGCTGAGAATCAGACCCGCTCTTAAAGTGGAGCTGGAGTTCAGTGAGTCGGCTGAGAGGGCCCGTCCAAGCAAAGCCATGTTTAAAGATTCCCACCGGCACCTCGTTCTCTATATTAAGCAGTCTCAGCTTCCGAAGATTCAAACACTCAAAGTATACCTCAGGTGCAAGAACCCGGAAGCAGCTCTCGTCAAGCTCAAGCGAAGCCAGCATAAGAGTTGCTGGCGCGTGGAATGTCAAAGTCGTTGGCTGGAAACACTGGAGAGAGGAAAGGCGGCGAGCAAATCTCGAGAGCAGCGTCTGGTAGTGTGGTGATATGGTATAGTTGAATGGTTCGGATGTAGTAGGAGAGGGAGGGGCTCCCAGAGTATCATCGGTGTGCGGGGGAATAGCTGCATGTAGCCCAATTGCTTTCAGGGTTTGGTAGCTGTGCCGAATGAAATCGAAAAAGGCATTGGCATCTTTCTGCATGTCCAAAGTGTGACAGTCTGTTCCCGACCTTAAAATGCCTTTGCCATAGAATTGGATCGTGTCCAGCCTATCCCAGGGTGGTGATGTGAGACCAAGGGCACCAAGTGCGGTTGTGAGTCGGAGGGGCCCGGTGTAGTCGTCGCTCATGATGACACGCAGAATGGTTGGCAAGTGTGGGTTTTGCTGACAGAGGAGCGATGTGATGTTGGAAACCCACACTACCTGCCCGACATCCTTGCTGCGCTGCTCAGGATGGGTGTGTATAATCGTTCGCTGGACAAAAACAAACCGATAGGCATGTGGTGGCATACAAAACTTCCAGTGGCGGCAGACGGTGGCGATGCGCATTGCCTCCCAGTAATCAGCGAGGACAGCATGCTCGTGGGCTATGTCCTGGCACAAGAAAGCTATTATTCTGGTAAGAATGTTGGCAGGCAGCTCGTTAAGGGTGTGAGTAGGCATCTTTGGGAGGGATTGGAGCGGAGGAGGATTGGATGATTCCAGTGTACGCCATGGCGACCACTTGGGTTTTTATACTTGTTCTGTAGCGCTGGATGAGGGCTGTGTTGTCCCCTGGGTATTGCAGCGACACATGTCTTCCTTACTGAGACACGTATCTGGATGAAACAAAAATGCACAGAAGGTCCTGGAGACGTAACGTCTAACCCTATGGCCATCGAGAAAACAGTGCCGTGGGAGCCAGCTTTTATCCCGTCATGCACGTGTGCAGCACCGAGTCGAGCCATGTGGGTCTTTGTAGGCTAGAAAGGATTGTGAACGTGCTGCAGTACCTGCTGTGTTCATGGCTGGGCAATAGAATGGGAATCAGATTTGATCCAATTATCCTTATTTGGCTTTTTGGTGAAGGAAAGGCTTAAGGTATCCTGTCTCTGCCACCTGGACAGCCATAGATGCGTGTCATTTTTATGTGAAAATCAGCAGAGTTAAGTAGTGCACTGGTGCTCTTGCAGTCAACACGGGCTCCGCTGGCTACATCTACTTGTAACAATCGTACGTCACTCCGACATTCATGTCTGAGCTATGTGGCCATCGGCTTTCAGGTACCGACTGTGCTCTGTCTATAGACACATACCACCACGGCACCACCTGTTGGTGGTATTGCAAAGTATAGAACTACTACAAATGGAGTCTATCAAAATGGCCCGTCTCTGTACTGCGACAGCTAGAAAATCGGCGCTCAACACAGCAACCAGGTTTGACAATCTTCTTGGAATCAAAATAGTTAGGTCCCAAAGTGAAACACCACTCGGCAGGGACATCCTCCGCAGCCATTCCACCGCTCGCGTCGATTATAAAAGACCGGGGGCTGTCGCTTACTCTCACAGATTTGTTCATTATTTTTTGTTGCAACTTCGTTTTCCTATAGCCTTGCCATGGTTTCAACTTACCTCCCGGCCCACGTTGATCGCAGTGCCATCCATCCTTGCATTGTTGACATGAGGGTGCCATTCATCGATATTGACAGCGAGAAACAGGCCGTCCAACAGCAGCGAGCGCACAAATCACCGTTCATCGTGCTAGAGAAAGATTACTTCACAGTCTACAAATGTCAATGGTGGCCCATTAAAGTGTAACTATATCTCCCGGAACTATATCACAATGATGATGCGGTACTACCCTGAGCGCCCTGGTATGTGGTGTTGTTTTCAGGTGCGTAATGGTCTGACTTTCAATCCCGAGCCACCAGCTATCTACTTTATTCACGAAAAGTCCAGCGATATTCTGATCGAGGACCCATCCAGAATGCAACACGGTCTTGATATATTACAACGAGAAGGACATTGCGAGGTTTGCAGCGACAACAAGGGCTGCAGATGGCTGCTGCAACCATTTCTTTGTTGTGTATGAGGATGGAGTCGAGCAGTGCTTCGATGCCAATAATCCACAGAGCAGCTACACTTTCCAACGCACCCTCAAATTCGCGTTCTTACCGGCAGTGAGGAAGGGCGTTGACGCGATTGAAAGGTTCAAGGATGAAGACAGACTGTTTGAGGAACGCCAGATATTCAAGCGCCTGCCAGACGGAGGATTCAAGCTAAGGGACATTAATGGCGCCGAGGTTCATGATGGCGAGGAGTTTTCATTGGTTGTCAAATTCGATGACGATGACGAACGCGAGTTTGATACATATGCTCTCGAGATATACGAAGGCGAACTCATGGCTGGGCCAATCCTTGACACTCTATTCACCTGCGAGACAATCGAAGGCATTATGTACCTGAATTACAATGGGCAGTATCTACACTGCCCTGATGATAAAGATGGTAGCATAGTTGTCTCCCCAGAGCTGCCCGAACGATCCGACCGTCTTCAAATCAATTATGACGGCGCGGACATCCTCCTGACCAGGTGGGACACATCGGATTTTGCTATCTATGAATGGGTTAAGGCATCGGTAGGATGCATTGCACTCCATGGTAATTGGTATGAACAGCGCCTTTATGGTGCAGTGCGACTTCAGCTCATCAAGGTATAAATAAAACGTATCTTCTACTCAGCTGAGCTCTAAGAAAGTGAGGAAGATTACATGACAGACGTCGTTTACAGCGTAAGCCCCCTGAGGAAATCTCTACGCACACCAACAAACCAACACATTCAAGGTGTTCCTTATAACGATGAGTCAAAACAGCAGAAGTGAGTGTGGCAATCCGAAAAAGTAGCAACACCATTAAAGCCTGGAGAATAATAACGCAGCTTACATATCCAATGCCTGGAATGTGAATGCCTCAATATCAATGTCGCACTTTTGTGCCATCGCTGAAGTGGTATGTTAATATTAGTGTTTCTTATTCAGGAATCATGAAATACTGTTCTACACCTTGATAACGCTCTTACCGAAGTTCTTGCCGTCAAACAGATTCAGAACTTCCTGAGGAGCGTTCTCCAGACCAGTGGTCTCATCGATGTGGTACCGAAGTTTGCCCTCCTTGTACAGCTTACCAACTTCAGCCATAAACTCGTCCTCAGCTGGCGTTCCATAGTACTTGCCAACAAGTATACCCTGGAAAGTAGCAGTTTTGGTCACGATGTTGAAAGTGTTCTTGAGACCGTATGCCTCATCAGCCGACTTGACGTTGTACTGGGAAATCATACCACAGGAGATAATGCGAGCACTAGTATTGATGTTAGCCAGAGCAGCATCGAGGAACTCACCACCGACGTTGTCAAAGTAGATGTCAATGCCCTCAGGAGCAGCCTGCTTGATTGCCTCGGTGAAGGTTCCGCATGTCTTGTAGTTGAAGGCAGCGTCGGCTCCAATGCTCTTGACAAGTTCGACCTTGTCCTCTGAGCCAGCAACACCAACAACCCGCAGACCACGAGCTTTGGCAAGCTGAACGACAATCTGGCCAACAGCACCCGACGCCGAAGAAACGAGGATGGTCTCACCAGCCTTTGGCTTACCAATCGTGGTCAGACCGACAAAGGCAGTGAATGATGCCATACCGAAGACTGTAATAAAGTCGCGGGCGTTATCAATAGTGCCGGTGGGAAGTTTGCGCAAAGTACCTGCATTCACAACTGACTTGGTCTCCCAGCTCGCGTTCGGGACAGCAACAATGTCGCCTTCAGCAATGCCAGTGCTGGTTGATGCCTCCACAACAGCAACACCAAAGTTGGAAATCGGCTCATTAAGCTCATAGCGGGGGACGAAGCTGTTTGTAGCGCCGCTCAGACGGCCACGCTGGTACGGATCAACAGAAAGATAGAGGTTGCGGACCAAAACCTGGTTCTCCTTAAGCAAGTCCTTAGTGGGGGCCGGGGCGGACACGACCTTGAAGTTGTCGAGGCTCGGGGCGCCGTTAGGTGAGTACTTGTTGGCCAGGACGCGAGTGATGAGATCAGAAGACGACATGATTTTAAACTGATTTCTAGGGCCTGCTAGAATTCTGGTGAAAGTATAGGTTATGAATTTCTTGGATAAAGACTTGACGCGCGCCAGCTGCGCTCATTTTATAGCTGCACAAGCAATTTCACTATTTTATGAAAGGTATTAATAATGGACTACGCGGAGTTTCTGTGTGTCCAACATAGCCATGATTGCCCTTGGATTTTGGTTATTTGGACCATACCTTCTTACTCAGCAAGGGTGTCACTGGGAAACGAAACAGCACCGCCTGGTGGAATTCCGCAGGTTGACAAAGAAAATAGTCACTGGTTGGGTCGCACTGTAGACCGACAGCCCTGATCACTCCGGGTTCGTGGGGGTTGTCCAAAAAAAAATCTTTGCATATAAATGATTTTATGGTCGAAAAAGGGTATGACCGTCCGCTAGAACCTTTCTAATTAGCTAAAAATAAAGCTCTTTTAAACCTCAAAGCGAGTTTGAGTGACTTGCTCTGTAAACTCCTTTTGATCTTGTGCGGCGTCTGACCTCATCGGTGAAACCAGGGTGACAAGCTGTTATTGTAATGGTCACAGGTCTCCACTAGATATCTCCATTGGCTCAGCGCAAGAGCTGCTTTCATTGTCGGTCGGCCTGATAGCTTCCATGGCGTTATCATGGTGGTCATCACCGGCTGCGCAACACTCTTAGGATATTTATTTATGAGTACCTATTGAATAAGGCCATATAGATCTTCTAGCAGTCATACGATATTTGTGAAGTTATTTTATAAATTAATTTGTCTTATGAACATGCATAAGCAGTAGTATTTGGGCCACAATGGATCCAGTCTGTATAGACTGATTCAAGAGACTGTATCAGTGCTAAAGGCCCCAAGAACCATGCAAGCCAGATCATTTTTAATAAAGAGTTCTTAATGCTATGCATACACCATAAAGCAAAACTGAACAGCATCATTTCTCTTACTTGCCTATTGAATTTCTCAAATGAATATTACCCGCAGCACTACTGTCATAAAGACATCACTTGGTGGTATTGGCTTCCGTGATTCTATGTTGCCCCGCCTAGAGCAATTTGTACACGGCGTCAATATCATCAAGGAACATACATACATGCTTGCACGATGGATATTACTCCATCAACTAGCTTATGATGATGCTTTTGACCCTTCAATACTTGTGAAAAAGGGATTCTTTCGTTTTATTTATTTATTCATTTATCGCAACCTGAAGGCGAAGACTGTCATATCTGCCGAGGATTTCGTCAACCGGAAGGACAAGTCAGAACTGTCGAGCGCAGATTTCGGTGATGTAGTTAGATACCATATTTATGATTATATATTGCATAATGGCGATATCGAGCTACATGGTGTACGTGAAATGAATCAGGTAGCGACATACGTGGATACCGAGCTGTTAACAGCATACAAGAACAACATTGTGTTGCACTATGGCACCTGCCTACAGCGGATTCTGGCCAAATTGATTGATACTCGCAGCCGCAAAAACACACTGCACAGTACAATGGGCAACGTGTCCAAGGCTGAGTTCAATAATGCATGTCAAGTGTGTATTTATACACCTGCACAGAAGCTCCGCCAGG